TTTATGCAAATTGCAGAAAAGATAAAAAAAGATCCTCGCGATATATGTAGAAAATATTCTTTTATAGTGGAAAAAACATACATGACTATTTTTTTATTGCAATTTTAAGTAAAATATATTTAAACCACCATCTCACCTGTATGTCCGGCTTCGAATTAATGGGATTTCCTTCAATTTCAGGTCGGAGCATCGCGCTACCAGTACGAAACGAGCTTTGTTGTAAAAGCACTTCGCCGTGGGCGAATTTGGAAATCTTATACTCTCGGTAAACATGACTCCCGGTGAACCCAGCACCAGAACATCCGGTACTGTGGCCACGACAAAGCACACTAAGAGAAACCCGTTCAAGTGAAAGATGCTCATATCTGCAACAAAATCAGCGGAAACGTACGCTTATAATCTTTGCCCAAACTTTGCCGCAACCGGATAATTAATCGCTCGCGAAGGTGCAATATTTAGTATTCCCTTTTTACACTATCACATTATCATTTATAGTATTTTAGTATCACGCAATATCTCTCCATGTTTCTCTATTACATTTTAAATTATATATTTGTAATATAATATAATATATCGTATTTTATATATATTTTATTATTATATGTTATCAAGGACAGCGAAACAGACGACCAGATAGGCTACGGTTTAAGTGTTTATTGTTGGCACAAGGTTATTACAATCAGGGAGAAGAACTGATAATAAGAAATAAAGGACTAATACATGACTATAATATTACACATATATCACGATAAATCTAGATGTGTATGATATAAACATTACAATCATTCTAATTAAAAATAATATGTATTTCTGTATCAATATAATGAAGTATCGAACAGTGAAACGGCATGCAAGATACAAAAGAAACTAAAAGGAACAAAATAAGAGCAAAAATAATCGTGCGCGTTTGACAAAAATAAATAAAAAGTAGGCACTATAGTATTTATAAAAGCATAATAATAAAAATTTGTCATATTACCTGTAGAGAAAGTTAGTCAACTTAAATACACCACAGAACTTTAATTTATTACACAAATACGTCAAAATTAAGACGTGTGGTGAGTCGAGAGACGATGTGTGTCGATCGAGAATTCAATACGTACTAACTTTCTGTGTTGGTAGCAAAACAATAACGGTGACCTAGAGAGGTATACTCTGTTTTGGGGGAAGTGTATATGATATTAAAAGTCAAATTGTATATTGAATTTAAATTGTCTGTGTCTTTCTGTAAATAATTCATGGAGCCTTTATGCATTTTTATAAAGATTATTTCCGCAATATCTTTTTTTATATAACGCGTTTCTGTAGAATAAAGGGAGATTGCCAGTTAAAATCATAATGGAAAGTTATACATTATACATACAAAAATCGGTGCACAAAACAAATTTACTCTTTATTCAATTTTTGAACGTTTTGACATTTTTTGTGGTTATATTCAGTGTATAATAAAAAGCGACTTAAATTCTTATCGATATAAATTTATGGTTGCAAACACCGGTTGTACGAAAAAATTAAGTATTACCGCTAACAATTGTAAGACGGAGTCAATAATTTTAAAAAACTGTTGCAAAACAAATCGCTATTATATCGATAAAAAGCACGCGACGACATTGAGCGATCGACTTTCAAGAAGTTTATTTGACCGGCATCGAAGAAATTACAGACATTTCTTTCTACATATATCGCTGTCAAAAGTATAGTGAGATAATATTCGTTTAACCACGCAGAGAATTTCTCAAAAATTTTGCTACATTTATATAAATTCTTATATATAAATATTGTAACCATTGTATATGCGAACACAATATAATACAATTTACATACATTTTTTTATAAGTTAACGTATTTATATGTTATATAAATATATTAATGTTCATGGATCAGTCTTCTTCAATAATTACTTTTGATAAAGCCTGTTTTCTCATTTCTTTTTCCATTCAAAGTCTTAAGTAATCTCCAACAATAAATACCAATAAAAGTCCAATGTATTTTATTCAACATTTCCGGTTTCTGAATGATAATTAATAACGCTTTCGTTGATCATAACGTCTTTGTTCAAAATGCTATATAATATATGTATCTTACTCCTCTCTACAATTTGTAATATATTTTTCAAAAAATAACAATCGTGCTAGAAGAAGCATTCGAACTATTAAATAATTTTACGTTTATTAAACATTGCGCGATATGTATTAATGATAATCATATACAAATTTAGGCACGTGAATATATGTCCAATTATATTCTTTGTGAATCTTCTGTCGATTAAATTCTTTGATTAAACACTAACAATTCTTGCTTTCCTTTTTTCTTACTTATAGCACAAATATGTTTTATTTCTAAATAACTGCTTTTACACTTTCATCCCGCCCTTCTTGCGTAAAATTCTACCCTCGCATTGTCGACGCCAGAAACAGCTCTTTCTTCTAAGATAAAGAGAAAGCGAGAACTGTTTGTGTTTATTGAAAGAATTTAATCGACTGAAAATTCACAGAGAATTAAAAATTAAATTCCTTTATTTATTTTTCAAAAATTGTAAGCTAATTTTATCGTACACGTGACAAATCGTATATAATGATGAATGGGTACAGAAAAAGAATTTAAAGCGCTATCGGGTAATTTAAATTTTTTTAAGTATAACTAAACGTACTTTTATTATAAGACTCTTCTTCCTGTACAAAAATTTATCGTACAAAAGTAATATAAAAACTATATCTTGTTTTGTGTTAAATATTTCTTAACACATATATATGATTGTCATTATTCATACAATAAAAATAAAAACTAAATAAAATTTACATAATTGTTATTTTTAATTAAAATTTACAATTAAAAAGATATTCTAAATCAATCCATAATAAATTCAAAATAAATTTATAATTGATCCAAAGTTGGCTACATTTCGGATATCCTATGGACGTAACAAGTTGTAACTAATGTACATCTTATAAACGTTCATCGAATGTATAGACCTTATTTGAATTGTTTAAGAATATCTCAATATCCAATAACAAATATTCACTGAACATAAATTAGACGTTCTTGTGCTATCAGGGTATAAAAATATTAATCTCTGCGGAACTGTCTTCTTTCATTTCTGGATAATAATTAATAACGCTTTTGTCGATCACAAGGTTTATGTTCAAGAGGCTTTATAATATATGTATCTTTAGAAGAACGTAAAATCCTGTAAAAAGCCTGTTTCTGGCGTGAACAATGCGAGTTTAGAATTTTACGCATGAAGGGCGGAATGAAAGTGTAAGAGCCCAATCAGAAATCATCGTTTGAAAAGACGTCGATATAAGGTCCAACTTATTTTATTCGATATCGAAAATATCGAAGAAAATACGTCGGACTTTTAATAGTATTTATTGTTGGAGATTGCTTAATACTGTGAATGGTAAAAAATGAGAAAACAGGCTTTAACAAAAGTAATCAATGAAGAAGACAGTTCCGCGAAGATTAATATATTTATACCCAGATAGTATAAAAATGTTTAATGTATGTCTATTATACTCTTTCTAAAAAATGTGTAATATATTTTTCAAAAAATGGCAATCGCGCCAAGAGCAGCATTCAAACTATTATAATAATTTTACATTTATTGAACATTACGCGATGTGTATTAATGATGATCAGATACAAACTTAAGCACGTAAATATATATTTGTTTAAATTCTCTGTGAATCCTTAGTCGATAAAACTCTTTCAATAAACACAAACAGTCCTCGCTCTCTCTTTCTGTTACTTATAACATGTACATCTTATAAACGTTCTAAATTCTAAACTCGCATTGTTCACGCCAGAAACAGGCTTTTTTACAGGATTTTACGTTCTTCTAAAGATACATATATTATAAAGCCTCTTGAACATAAACCTTGTGATCGACAAAAGCGTTATTAATTATTATCCAGATATGAAAGAAGACAGTTCCGCAGAGATTAATATTTTTATACCCTGATAGCACAAGAACGTCTAATTTATGTTCAGTAAATATTTGTTATTGAATATTGAGATATTCTTAAACAATTCAAATAAGGTCTATACATTCGATGAACGTTTATAAGATGTACATGCTATAAGTAACAAATCGCGCAATGTTTAATAAATATTTTGAACGTAAGATTATTATTATAGCTCGAATGCTACTTCTGGCACAATTGCCATTTTTAAAAAGTATATTATAAATTTCTGTAAAAAAATGAGATACATATATTATATAGTTTCTTGAACAATTACGTTATGATCAACAAAAGCGTTATTAATTATCATTCAGAAGCCAGAAATAAAATACGTTGGACGTTAAATCGACGTCCAATTGATCGATCATTTCTGACTGAGCTCTTTCACTTTTATCCCACCCTTCTCGCGTAAAATTCTGTTCTCGGAATGTCATCGCCAGAAACAGCCCTTCTTAGAAGATTCTACGTTCTATTGGCAAAAATTAACGCGACAGATGACTGTTTGGGCATTCAATTGACAAAGTTGACTGGATCACGTAGAGAATCTGTTCGATGCAAATCAAAATTATTCGAATATTTTACAATTAATATTATAAAGTATGTATGATTGAATGGTACTGTTTTAAAAACACAAGCTGGGAAAAATAGTATATTAGCTAACAAGTGCGGAGGATCGTAAATCGACCGAGAGTGCGGGAGTTTGGCGCACGAGGCGAAACCGAGTGTGACAATCCGCACGTTCGGCCGATTTATCACCCGCACATGTTGGCTACGATATTTTATGTGACCGGTGCGTGGAAAGGGAGCCCTTTCTTATATTCCATCATGTGCGTAAAGGGCGACTTTTCGCGCGCCGGTTGCACAATATATACTTAAAAAAACATGACATTATTTTAAACTCGCAATGTTTAATTTAGAAAGAAGAGTACGACTATAATTTAATTTGATTGAACAAATGAATAGTTAATTTAATTTTGAAATCGATTATCTTAATAAAATTTCTATTTACATATTTAAAAAAGTTTCATTAATTAAATTAATATCAACATATTATTATTGTATATTAGTATCAATTTTGTTTATTAGTTGAAATACTTTTGTATGAAGCATTCTAAAATGCACTGTTCAAAAGATGTTTGCATGGGATCGATTAAAATCGCCCACTCTGTATATGTTTTATCCCTGTAGATATTTTTGACATTCCTCCTCCGTTTTCTAGATACTGGATTTTAACAGGAATGAAGTGCGGACACTGGAGAACTACAGTCTGTATCCTTACAAGAAATTGGCCTACATCTCTCTAGCTCGCAATTTCATCCGTAAAATCGATGAGGCAGCCTTCGCCAATCAGCATTACCTGGAGGTGCTGGATCTCGCGCAAAACCGTTTTCTCACACTGCCCAAAAGTCTATTTCAAATGCCGTATCTTCGCACGCTCTATCTCAACAATAATCTGCTTACCGATTCCGCGGTCAAGATGAAGATCACTTCGCCCATAAGACTGCTGCAGCTGACCGAGAACGAGCTAACCGTAATACCGAACATAGGCGTCCAGCCGACTCTTCTTGAACTGAACGTGTCCAACAACAAAATCACCTCGGTCAGCACCGAGGATCTGGCGCCCTTTGGCTCGTTGAAAGAGCTTGATCTAACCGGAAATAGCATAAGTTTTAAAGCGGGCAGCTGCGATTGTCAGATATTCATCGCCTGGGTGAAGCTGCGGCAGATCAAGATAAAGCCTCACAATTTTTACAATTGCCCCAAAACACCGGCAACACTGAATGAGGACTGCGCCAACTTGAGATTCAGCGATAGGACGAACGAGCTGTTCGACGAGTGCTTGGCCATTATACAGCATGAGGTGGAGACCGAGAAAGCTCGATCATTTTGGATGTACGTCGTTTCGTGTATTTCGATGTTCCACTTCTTGTTGTTCGTGGGATTGTTTTGCGTGCACAAGCAGGAGAAGCAGCTGACGGCAAATGACGACAACATCGAGATGCGTCAACAGGAACCTGCCTGACGATCTTTACAATTGCACCGAAACATCTACAGCACTGAATGAGGTGGAGACCGAGAAAGCTCGATCATTCTGGATATACGTCGTTTCGTGTATCTCTGTGTTTCTCTTCGGGTTGTTCGTGGGGTTATATGTATGTCTGTATGTGATGCTGTACATAGTATTGTAAATCGTAATATCTTTTTAAGTATATTATTATAAATTAAAATAATACTTTGATACATTTCTACTCAATCTTTTATTGATTAAAGTTTTATGCAAAATAGAAACACGTTGATTTAAAAAAATTAATGCAGATAAGCATCCTTATTCGTTAAATTAAAAAAAATCGAATGGGATTTCGTGCAATTTCAGATTCGAGCAAATGTTATTATAATATTTTTTAAATTTATTTACCTTATATATCTTAATTGTATAATTAATGTAAAAAAAAGAAAAATAAAACAGTGTCTTACGTATTTCTAGAACTCGTTACGAATTCCTCTATTTTATGCAAATTGCAGATAAGATAAAAAAAGATCCTCGCGATATATGTAGAAAATATACTTTTATAGTGAAAAAAACATACATGACTATTTTTTTATCGCAATTTTAAGTAAAATATATTTAAACCACCATCTCACCTGTATGTCCGCATTCCAATCAAACGGGATTTCCTTCAATTTCAGGTCGGAGCATTGCGCTACCAGTGTCTTAGAAGATTTGTTGTAAAGGCACTTTGCCGTGGGCGGATTTAGAAATCCTATACTCTCGATAGACGTGACTCCCGGTGAACCCAGCACCAGAACATTCGGTACTGTGGCCACGACAAAACACACTAAGAGAAACCCGTTCAAGTGAAAGATGCTCATATCTGCAACAGAATCAGCAAAAACGTACGCTTATAATCTTTGCCCAAACTTTGCCGCAACCGAATAATTAATCGCTCGCGAAGGTACAATATTTAGTATTCCCTTTTTACACTATCACATTATCATTTATAGTATTTTAGTATCACGCAATATCTCTCCATGTTTCTCTATTACATTTTAAATTATATATTTGTAATATAATATAATATATCGTATTTTATATATATTTTATTATTATATGTTATCAAGGACAGCGAAACAGACGACCAGATAGGCTAAGGTTTAAGTGTTTATTGTTGGCACAAGGTTATTACAATCAGGGAGAAGAACTGATAATAAGAAATAAAGGACTAATACATGACTATAATATTACACATATATCACGATAAATCTAGATGTGTATGATATAAACATTACAATCATTCTAATTAAAAATAATATGTATTTCTGTATCAATATAATAAAGTATCGAACAGTGAAACGGCATGCAAGATACAAAAGAAACTAAAAGGAACGAAATAAGAGCAAAAATAATCGTGCGCGTATGACAAAAATAAATAAAAAGTAGGCACTATAGTATTTATAAAAGCAAAATAATAAAAATGTGTCATATTACCTGTAGAGAAAGTTAGTCAACTTAAATACACCACAGAACTTTAATTTATTACACAAATACGTCAAAATTAAGACGTGTGGTGAGTCGAGAGACGATGTGTGTCGATCGAGGATTCAATACGTACTAACTTTCCGTGTTGGTAGCAAAACAATAACGGTGACCTAGAGAGGTATACTCTGTTTCGGAGGAAGTGTATATGATATTAAAAGTCAAATTGTATATTGAATTCAAATTGTCTGTGTCTTTCTGTAAATAATTCATGGAGCCTTTCTGCATTTTTATAAAGATCATTTCCGTAATATCTTTTTTCATATAACGCGTTTCTGTAGAATAAAGGGAGATTGCCAGTTAAAATCATAATGGAAAGTTATACATTATACATACAGAAATCGGTGCGGAAAACAAATTTACTTTTTATTCAATTTTCGAACGTTTCGACAATTTTTTGTGGTTATATTTAGTGTATAATAAAAAACGACTTAAATTTTTATCGATATAAATTTATGGTTGCAAACACCGGTTGTACGAAAAAATTAAGTATTACCGCAAACAATTGTAAGACGGAGTCAATAATTTTAAAAAACTGTTGCAAAACAAATCGCTATTATATCGATAAAAAGCACGCGACGACATTGAGCGATCGACTTTCAAGAAGTTTGTTTTCTCATTTCTTTTTCATTCGAAGTCTTAAGTAATCTTCAACAATAAATACCAATGAAAGTCCAACGTATTTTGTTCAACATTTCCGGTTTTTAAATGATAATTAATAACGCTTTCGTTGATCATAACGTTTTTGTTCAAAATGCTATATAATATATGTATCTTACTCCTCTCTGAAATTTGTAATATATTTTTCAAAATATAACAATCGTGCTAGAAGAAGCATTCGAACTATTAAATAATTCTACGTTTATTAAACATTGCGCGATATGTATTAATGATGATCATATACAAATTTAGGCACGTGAATATATGTCCAATTATATTCTTTGTAAATCTTCTGTCGATTAAATTTATTGATTAAACACCAACAATTCTTGCTTTCCTTTTTTCTTACTCATAGCACAAATATGTTTTATTTCTTAAATAACTGCTTTTACACTTTCATCTCGCCCTTCTTGCGTAAAATTCTACCCTCGCATTGTCGACGCCAGAAACAGCTCTTTCTTCTAAGATAAAGAGAAAGCGAGAACTGTTTGTGTTTATTGAAAGAATTTAATCGACTGAAAATTCACAGAGAATTAAAAATTAAATTTTTTATTTATTTTTCAAAAATTGTATGCTAATTTTATCGTATACGTGACAAATCGTATATAATGATGAATGGGTACAGAAAAAGAATTTAAAGCGCTATTGGGTAACTTAAATTTTTTTAAGTATAACTAAACGTACTTTTATTATAAGATTCTTCTTCCTGTACAAAAATTTATCGTACAAAAGTAATATAAAAACTGTATCTTGTTTTGTGTTAAATATTTTATAACACATATATATAATTGTCATTATTCATACAATAAAAATAAAAACTAAATAAAATTTACATAATTGTTATTTTTAATTAAAATTTACAATTGAAGAGATATCCTAAATCAATCCATAATAGATTCAAAATAAATTTATAATTGATCCAAAATTGGCTACATTTCGGATATCTTATGGACGTAACAAGTTGTAACTTGTAATGTACATCTTATAAACGTTCATCGAATGTATAGACCTTATTTGAATTGTTTAAGGATATCTCAATATCCAATAACAAATATTCACTGAACATAAATTAAACGTTCTTGTGCTATCAGGGTATAAAAATATTAATTTCTTATAATAAAAATATAAATTGTCTTCTTTTATATCTGGATAATAATTAATAACGCTTTTGTCGATCACAAGGTCTATGTTCAAAAGGCTTTATAATATATGTATCTTTAGAAGAACGTAGAATCCTGTAAAAAAAGCTGTTTCTGGCGTTACAATGCAAGTGTAGAATTTTACGCGTGGATGGCGGAATGAAAGTGTAAGAGTTCAATCAGAATTAATCGTTTGAAAATACGTAGATTCAACGTCCAATTTATTTTATTCGATATCGGAAATATCAAAGAAAATACGTCGGACTTTTAATAGTATTTATTGTTGGAGATTGCTTAAATACTGTTAATGGTAAAAAATGAGAAAACAGGCTTTAACGAAAGTAATCAATAAAGAAGACAGCTCCGCGAAGATTAATATACTTATATTCAGATAGTATAAGTAATGTTTAATGTATGTCTAATATACTCTTTCTAAAAAATGTGTAATATATTTTCCAAAAAATGGCAATCGCGCCAAGAGCAGCATTCAAGCTATTATAATAATTTTACATTGCGCGATGTGTATTAATGATGATCAGATACAAATTTGGCACGTAAATATACCTTCGATTAAATTCTCTGTGAATTTTCAGTCGATCAAACTCTTTTAATAAATACAAACAGTTCTCGCTTTTTCTTTATCTTAGAAAAAAGGACTGTTTCTGTCGTCGACAATGCAAAAGTAAAATTTTACTTATATATATTTACATGCATAAGTTTGTATCTGATCATCATTAATAGATTAATAGAAAGTGTATGAGCATAGTTATTTGAGAAATAAACAATATTTTGGCTATAAGTAACAGAAAGAAAGAGCGAGGACTGTTTGTGTTTATTGAAAGAGTTTTATCGACTAAGGATTCACAGAGAATTCAAACAAATATATATTTACGTGCTTAAGTTTGTATCTGATCATCATTAATACAAATCGCGCAATGTTCAATAAATATTTTTAACGTAAGATTATTATTATAGCTCGAATGCTACTCCTGGCACGATTGCCATTTTTGAAAAGTATATTATAAATTTCTGTAAAAAAATAAGATACATATATTATATAGTCTCTTAAACAATTACGTTATGATCAACAAAAGTGTTATTAATTATTATCCAGAATCCGGAAATATCAAATAAAATACGTTGGACGTTAAATCGACGTCCAATTGACCGATCATTTCTGACTGAGCTCTTTCACTTTCATTCCGCCTTTCTTGCGTAAAATTCTATTCTCGTATTGTCATCGGCAGAAACAACCCTTCTTACAAGATTCTACGTTCTATCGGCAAATATTTCGTTAATTATTGGCAGGTTCCTGTTGACGCATCTCGATGTTGTCGTCATTTGCCGTCAGCTGCTTTTTCTGCTTGTGCACGCAAAACAATCCTACGAACAACAAGAAGTGGAACATCGAAATACACGAAACGACGTACATCCAAAATAATCGAGCATTCTCGGTCTCCACCTCATGCTGTATAATGGCCAAGCACTCGTCGAACAGCTCGTTCGTCCTATCGCTGAATCTCACGTTGGCGCAGTCCTCATTCAGTGTTGCCGGTGTTTTGGGGCAATTGTAAAAATTGTGAGGCTTTATCTTGATCTGCCGCAGCTTCACCCAGGCGATGAATCTCTGACAATCGCAACTGTCCGTGTTAAAACTGATGTTATTCCTGCTCAGATCGAGCACCTTCAGCGAGCAGAACGGCGCTAGATCCTCGGTGCTAATCGAGGTGATATTGTTGTTAGACACGTTCAGTTCAAGAAGAGTCGGCTGGACGCCTATCTTCGGGATCATGGTTAACTCGTTCCTGTCCAGCTGCAGCAGTCTTATGGGTGAAGTGACCTTCATCTTAAATGCGGAATTTGTAAGGAGATTATCGTTGAGGTATAGCGTGTGAAGATTCGGCATTTGAAAAAGACTTTCGGGTAGTGCGCGGATACGGTTTGTCGCGAGTTCCAGCACCTCCAGGTAATGTTGATTGGCGAAGGCTGCCTCATCAATTTTACGGATCTTATTGTCACCTAGATAGATGTAGACCAGTTTCTTGTAAGGATACAGACTGTCGTTCTCCAGTGTCCGCACTCCATTGTTGGTAAAATCCAGTACCTAGCAAACAGAGGAGAAATGTCAGAAGTATCAACAGGGATGAAACATTGCTATTCAATCTTTTATTGATCAAAGTTTTATGCAAAATAGAAACACGTTGATTTAAAAAAATTGATGCAGATAAACATTGTTATTTGTTGAATTAAAAAAAATCGAATGAGATTTCGTGCAATTCCAGATTCGAGCAAATGTTATTATAATATTTTTTTTAATATATTTATCTTATATATCTTGATTGTATAATTAATGTAAAAAAAATGAAACAAAGTCTAACGTATTTCTAGAACTTGTTACAAATTCCACTATTTCATGCAAATTGCAGATAAGATAAAAAAAGATCCTTGCGATATATGTAGAAAATATACTTTTATAGTGAAAAAAACATACATGACTATTTTTTTATTGCAATTTTAAGTAAAATTTATTTAAACTACCATCTCACCTGTATGTCCGGCTTTAAATTTAACGGGATTTCTTTTAATTTCAGGCCGGAGCATCTCGCTACCAGTAGGAAACGAGCTTTGTTGTAAAAGCACTTCGCCGAAGACGGATTTGGAAACCCTATACTCTCGGGGAATATGACTCCCGGTGAACCCAGCACCAGAACATCCGGTACTGTGGCCACGACGAAACACACTAAGAGAAACCCGTTGAAGTGAAAGATGCTCATATCTGCAACAAAATCAGCGGAAACGTACGCTTATAAACTTTGCCCAAACTTTGCCGCAACCGGATAATTATTCGCTCGCAAAGGTGCAATATTTAGTTATCCTTTTTTACACTATCACATTAACATTTATGGTATTTTAGTATCACGCAATATTTCTTCACGTTTCTTTATTACATTTTAAATTATATATTTGTAATATAATATAGTATATTATTTTATATATATTTTATATACATTTTATTATTATATGTTATCAAGGACAGCGAAAGCAAACGACCAAATAGGCTACGGTTTAAGTGTTTATTGTTGACATAAGGTTATTACAATCAAGGAGAAGAACTGATAATAAGAAATAAAGGACTAATACATGACTAAAATATTACACATATATGGCGATAAATCTAAGTGTGTATGATATGAACATTAAAATCGTTCTAATTAAAAATAATATGTATTTCTGTGTCAATATAATAAAGTATCGAACATTGAAACGGCATGCAAGATACAAAAGAAACTAAAAGGAACGAAATAAGAGCAAAAATAATCGTGCGCGTATGACAAAAATAAATAAAGAGTAGGCACTAGTAGTTATAAAAGCGAAATGATAAAAATGTGTCATATTACCTGTAGAGAAAGTTAGTCAACTTAAATACACCACAGAACTTTACTTTATCACACAGGTACGTTTAAATTAAGTCGTGTCGTGAGTCGAGAAACGATGTGTGTCGATCGAGGATTCAATACGTACTAACTTTCCGTGTTGGTAGCAAAACAATAACGGTGACCTAGAGAGGTATACTCTGTTTTGGGGGAAGTGTATATGATATTAAAAGTCAAATTGTATATTGAATTCAAATTGTCTGTGTCTTTCTGTAAATAATTCATGGAGCCTTTATGCATTTTTATAAAGATCATTTCCGCAATATTTCTTTTCACATAACGCGTTTCTGTAGAATGAAAGGAGATTGCCAGTTAAAATCATAATGGAAAGTTATACATTATACATACAGAAATCGGTGCGCAAAACAAATTTACTTTCTATTTAATTTTCGAACGTTTCGACCATTTTTTGTGGTTATATTCAGTGTATAATAAAAAACGACTTAAATTTTTATCAATATAAATTTATGGTTGCAAACGCCAATTGTACAAAAAAATTAAATATTATCGCTAACAATCGTAAGACGGAGTCAATAATTTTAAAAAACTGTTGCAAAACAAATCGCTATTATATCGATAAAAAGCACGCGACGACATTGAGCGATCGACTTTCGAGAAGTTTATTTGACCGGCATCGAAGAAATTAACGCCGACATTTCTTCCTACATATATCAAGAGTATAGTGAGATAATATTCGTTCAACCACGCAGAGAGTTTCTCGAAAATTTTGCCACATTCATATAGATTTTTATATATAAATATTGTAATTATTGTATATGCAAGCACAATATAATACAATTTACATACATTTTTTTTATAAGTTAACGTATTTATATCTTATATAAGTATATTAATGTTTATGGAGCAGTCTTCTTCAATGATTATACTCTCGATAAAACCTGTTTTTTAATTTTTTTTTCCATTCAAAGTTGTAAGTAATCTGCAACAATAAGTACAAATAAAAGTCCAACGTATTTTATTCAACATTTCCGGCTTCTGAATGATAATTAATAACGTTTTCGTTGATCATAACGTCTTTGTTCAAAAGGCTATATAATATATGTATGTTACTCCTCTCTGAAATTTGTAATATATCTTTCAAAAAATAATAATCGTGCTAGGAGAAGCATTCGAACTATTATATAATTTTACGTTTATTAAACATTGCGCGATATGTATTAATGATGATCAAATACAAATGTAGGCACGTAAATATATGTCCGATTAAATTCTTTGTAAATCCTCTGTCTATTAAATTTTTTGAATAAACACCAACAATTCTCGCTTTTCCTTTTTCTTACTCATAACACAAATATTTTTTATTTTTTAAATAACTGCTCTTAAACTTTCATCCCGCTCTTCTTGCGTAAAATTCTACCATCGCATTGTCGACGTCAAAAACAGCCCTTTATACAGGATTCTACGTTCTATCGGCGATTTCCTAGCCAGCTTACCCTCGTCATTTTGTCGTCGAAAATTAGTCATTTTCACTCTATTGACATAATGTATAAAAAAAGTACCATAATTTGACGTCATTTTTATTATTAAATAATGACGTTTTTTTGAACAACGTCATTTAATCGTCATATTTACGTATTTATATTTTATAATTTTTATCAAAACTTTTTTTGTATTTGAATTTTTCATTGACAGTATAGATTTCATTTTAAAATGTATATTTTATATAATTTCATCATTTATAATAAATTGATGTAAAATAAAGATGTAATGCATATAATATGCATAGCAACGCGCACATGTACACGTATGTACGATGCATAATAACTTTATCAAGATGGCGTAGTCTGTCACTTTTCGGTCATAAATACGTCATTTAACACTTGATTTTTAGTTATAGAATGACCAGCATATGATATCAAAATGACATATGTTTGCTTCCTGGATTATTTCATAATTATCGTCAGATTGCTGTTGAAGCTGCTCGATGTTGTTGTAGATCGCTGTTGGCTGTTGCTGCTCCTTCTGCTTTCTGCGCCGTCTACAGATCCGCTTGTGCACGCAAAACAACGCCGTAAAGACCATGATGAAAAACACCGAGACGCACAAAGCGACGCTTATCCAAACGAATCGATTCTCGGTCTTCATCTCCTGCTGTATCATAGCCAAGCACTCGTTGAACAACTCGTACGTCCGATTACTGAATCCAACGTTGGCGCAATTCTCGTTCTGACCTGTCGGCGAATCGATGCACTTGTAAAGGTCCTTGGGTTCCATCTTGATCTGACGCAGCTTTACCCATGCGCTGAACGTCTGACAATCGCAACTGTCCGTGTTAAAACTGATCTTATTCCTGCTCAGATCGAGCACCTTCAGCGAGCAGAAGGGCGCCAGATCCTCGGTGCTGATCGAAATGATGTTGTTGTTGGACACGTTAAGATCAAGCAGAGTCGGCTGGACACCTATGTTCGGGATCATGGTTAACTCGTTCCTGGCCAGCTGCAGCAGTCTTATGGGCGAAGTGACCTTCATCTTAAATACGGAATCGGTGAGCAGGTTATCGTCGAGGTAGAGCGTGCGAAGATACGGCATTTGAAATAGACTTTTGGGCAGTGTGACAAAACGGTTTTGCGTGAGATCCAGCACATCCAAGTAATGCTGATTGACGAAGGCTGCCTCATCGATTTTACGGATGTTATTGTCAGCTAGATAGATGTAGGCCAGTTTCTTGTAAGGATACAGACTGTCGTTCTTCAGTGTCTTCACTTTATTATTGTTGAAATTCAGTACCTAGCAAACGAAGGAGGAATGTCAGAAGTATCAACAGGGATGAAACATATACAGAGTGGGCGATTTTAATCGATCCATACAAACATCTTTTGAACAGTGCATTTTAGAATGCTTTATACAAAAGTTTTTGACTTAGAGGGAAATATAAGATGGTGTCATTGGTTTGAATAGTCGCTTGAAGATCACATAAAGATTATCTTTGATTTCTTAAATAGAAGTAGCTACAAAAATATGCATTGAAAAATAGGGGTTTCCATTTAAGAAATTGAAGATGATTTTTAAACGATTACCCAAGGTTAAATATGTGACATAAAATTTTATATGGAAAATTATTTTTAATAGAAACTTTTATTTAATAATAATATTAAAAATTATTATATTGTTTTTAATTTATAAATCTATATTTGTTTGAGCGCGAACTCGTTAAATCGGAAACACCCTTATATTTTATTAAATTTAAAAATTATAATCGGTTGAATTCCAGTGGGGTGTTATCAGGGTGTGAAAACGCGATCGATTATTTTTGCGCAGTCATTTTCGCGAATTGTTTGGCCAATCCTGAGAACCTACCAAACACTCTCCAACGATTACACGTTTTTTTCGTAACCCAAACAATTGACAAGTCGAGAAAAGCGCTAGACCTGTTTATAAACAAAAAACGCGCGTCAACAATCGATGCGTGTGTTTTGTCTTTTCGTTCGAACAGCTGATCGTATATTTTAGAAAACGAAAATGTGAAAGACGCGCGCGCGACTGACAAAAGATCGAATAACAATTATCTTTGCCTTTGTGCTCGAGCAATTTTTAGGCAAATCGTCTTCGACTCTCAAACAATTTAGCTGGCTTAGAAAACGATCCGTCGCTCGCGGCACGTGAAATTAATCGCGTATAGCTTTTCGCGCCCTACGTATACCATATATTACATCGAAGTTGCTCGCTAGGAGATGAAAAACGGTATTGAGGACAGGTTTCGCGATTTCATGTCTTGTTTTGTATTTTGCTTTTTTTTTGTATGAAATAAACGCTTGTAACTTTTTTCTTTGTCAGATAACCGTGTGTGAGTGATTTACAGTCCTTCTCTCTCTCTCTCGTTTTCGCGCGGAATATTTTCAATTCGTTCTCGTCGCAACAAAATTCCCTATACTTAAAAAAAAACAAAGTTTCATAGATTTTTAAAACTCGTTACGAATCCCTTATTTTATGCAAATTGCAGATAAGATAAAAAAATCGTCACTATATATGCAAAAATATTTTTTATAATGGACAAAAATACATGACTGTTTTTTTATTGCAATTTTAACTAAAATATATTTAAACGACTATCTCACCTGTATGTCTACGTCCAAATTTAACGGGATTTCGTTCAATTTCAGATTGGAACATTGCGCTTCCAGTACCGACTTAACTTTGCTGTAGCGGCACATCTTCAGCGACGGCTTCGTCGTGACGCCGTACATTATTTCCGCAACTTGTGAACCCAGCACCAGAATATTTGGTACCGTGACTACGACGAAGCACAATAAGAGGAACCCGTTAAAGATAAAGATGCTCATATCTGCAACAGAATCAGCGGAAACGTACGCTTATAAACTTTGTCCAAACTTTGAAGCAACTGGATAATTAATCGCTTGCGAAGGTGCAATATTTAGGATTCCCTCTTTACACTATCACATTATTATTTATGGTATTTTGGTATCACGCAATATCTCTTTATCTCTTTTTATGACGTTTTAACTTATATATTTGTAATATAATATATTATATATTATTTTATATTTTATATATATATTTTATATTATATATTATCAAGGTCAGCAAAAATAGACGACCAGACTGGCTACGATTCAGGTGTTTATTGCTGATACCGACAATTTCGGTCAAGTGTCTGTAATTATTACATCTAAATTAAATACAAAAATATGACAATCAGGGATAAAAGTTGACAGTAAAAAATAAAGTACTAATACATGATTAAAATATTACATATATATTGCGATAAAGTTAGGTGTGTGTAGTATGAACATTACAATCAATCTAATTAAAAATGACATAAATTTTCGTAACAAAATAATAAAGTATACAATATAATAAAGCAATATAAAAATGATTATGCGTGTGTGATAAATAAAGAGTAGGCAAAAAACAATAACAGTGATGTAGAGAGGTATACTGTTTCAGGAGAACATTATATGATATTAAAAATCGAATCGTATATTGAATTTAAATTGTCTGCGTCTTTCTGTAAATTAATGAAATCTTATTTATATGTTTTTATAAAAATCATTTCCGCAATCTCTCTTCTCTTGTATGTTTATGTATGTAGAATGGAGGAAGATTGCCTGTTAAAATCATGATAAAGTTATATATTATATATAAGATTATTTCGTATTTTGACATTTAGAAGGTAAACTACTTTCTTGAAAAAAATCAGTTTTTTTATGTCTGAGCTAATACCATCGAAATGGTAAAAAATATAAAAATGTTTTAAATAAAAGTTATATGGTTTTTATTTATCAGAGACATGATAATTGTGAAAGAAATGTTTTATACAGAGAGATTTTTCTTGATGACAATTCTCTACTTTTTTTTACTTGAAACATATTTTCTCATTCTCAATTTCCGCATATATGTAAATTACAATATTTATTGCTACACAATTGTTCTACAATATATAAAAGATAAAGGTTTTAATATATAAATAATCATTACTTTTTATATTTAAATTTTTATATTTATAAATATATAAAATGTTATAAATTTAATTATATATATATATATATATATTTATATAATTATTAATTAATAAATATAATATACATACATAAATTGTAATATATAAATTTTTATCGATAACACATTCTTCCTGTGAGATTACAAAGGAAAGACTGTTATCACGACTAGCAAACGTCTGGCAGATACGAATGGAACGCCTATATAATGACATTTCTAGTTTATTTCTGAAAAATGCGTTGTCGGAATGCAACTTGGAATTTTATTCCGAAAGTGTGATCAAGTCATACATTAAAACGACACAATATTTGCAAAATATTGTAAATTTGAAAAGGCTAGGTATAAATTAATTTTAAAATTTCTTAAATCACATTCATTTTGAAATTCTTTAAATGTCAAAATATTACTTTAAATGCTTCAAAAGGCAATTTTTTGCGTAAAGTCTTCTAAATATGTATATTTTTTGCCATGTTCCTTTTTGTGCGATGTGTCCAGCAAGTAAAAAAACAAAAAATTTATATATAGAAAAACTTACCTCTGACAATAGTCAGTCAATAGTCAGAGTATGTCCTCTGAAATTGTTTGCACGTAGAACTAAAATTCTCAACGTCCGTCAAGCTAATAGTTACGTTTTTCGGAATTATTAAAATAATCTAGGTACAAAAATATATATAACAAACACACGTACAATATAAAAACAAATTGCAGTTTGAGTCTTTCTTAATAAATCGATTGATATTCTATGCACTAACGCATACGAGGTTTAGTGTGTATCGTGGACAGTTATTGACTGAGAATGACTAAATGTTTTAGGAAATGGAAAGGTCAAAAAAAAAAGATATAATGTATATTTCTTTTATCTTTTACTCGAGTTTCCACAGCGATCTCTGTTGGGCCGGACTCTGGAAATTTTTAACCTAGCATTTTATTAATGCAAAAAAATTCGTTTTTTTCTGTACAATTTTCAGGTCTCGTTCTATTGTTTGCATGATACTACAGATTATGAATTAACTACGTCCTAAAATAATAGCAATTTTTGCATGCCATTTTAATGACGGTCTAAAATAATATTATGGAAAAAGAATTAATGAAGTTGTAATAGAAATAACTCAGCGTATGCTGAGTTATTTCTATTACAACTTCATTAATTCTTTTTCCATAATATTATTTTAGACCGTCATTAAAATGGCAGACACAAAACACACACACACACACTTTTGCACCACTCAAAATATTAAAATTTACGACTACTCAATATTTCGCGAACAACTGCAGCATCGTCTGGATAATGTTCTTTTAGCATTTTGTTTGGCACATAATGAGTACCTTCAAACTTACAGAAATATCTTCCAGTTGCTGAATTATTTATCCATTCTACGCATGTCGATGTTATAGTACCTAAGATAAAAACGTAAAGATAAAGATATTAAGTATCACATTTATTATACGATGTAACATAAATAATATAAATAAAAATATCACAGAATATAGAATTATAAAGTATAATGAAGCATTTAATATAACAGTCCTACATTGTGGAACATAACACACGTTATTTTCAATTAACAAAATGTAGTATGGTTGCGATTTCCAATCTTTGATGTTATATTTCTGCATACATTTTTCTTTAATATCATTCGGAGTACAATATGATTTTGTATATAGAAAGCTTTCAATGTGACATTCGTTGTGCCACCCAATAATGACACCAGTAATATCTTTTGGTGTTTCATATCCAAGATTATGCTTATGTTTAACTATCAATCCAATTGCATATTTTAGATTAGGCGATCTTTTTTTGCGTAACGTTTCATCTGAACTATATATAATCTGAAAATTAGTATAGTTGACGTTTATATATATATTTTGTAGCTTAACTGAATGTAACAATTTGAATTAAATATAATTATAATTAGTACAATTTTTACACGTATAATTATGAATTTTAATTTGTTACATGTCTTTAATTTATAATATGTACAATGACTGATGCAATTGTCTTACCGCATCATATAGATTTGTTAATGGTGATATGTAACTATCCATTACATGAAAAGAAGGATGGCCACATAGCCACAAACTACATATATCCGCAATAGTTTTTATTGCGCTTGGCGACATAAGCTTAAAAAAGTTGTGATTAAATTTTGAAACAAAATCAATTACGATATGATATCGCAGGTAATTATTAAATTCAACTTATAAATGTGTGTAAAAACATAAATTTAGATAGATTTTGAAACTATAATTTAAATCAAACTAATATTGTATAACATATGTTTTTCAATTTATTCGAATTTATCTTATCGACATCAATTTTCTTAAAATATTTTTCGATTGTGTCTTTTATATTGAACGTCGCTACATTAAAT